TTTTAATAAAATTTGTTTCAGTTAACATTTTGAGCAAATATATTTACTTCCATTTGCCATTACTCATTAATCTTAATCTAACAGCTGGAAAAAAATTTATAAGCACATTTTCAGTCCTCTGTTTAGAAAGTTTTACATATTTTAGTGTGTACTTCATCGGTGTCCTTCACTACAGAGATACTATGACTATTTACCGCAATAAAGACTAGATTTGCATAAACTACAAATGTTTCTTTAAAAGAGAAAGTTCTATCAAAACCAAAAAATTTAGTTCATCCCTTGCCATCAAACAAATCCAGTATTTTTAATAGCTCTTTTTATTAGGAAATTCCTCTTTGAATATTGATACTCTAAATATCTTTTTTTTTTTTAAATATATTTTATTGATTTTTTACAGAGAGGAAGGGAGAAAGATAGAGAGCTAGAAACATCGATGAGAGAGAAACACCGACCAGCTGCCTCTTGCACACCCCTACTGGGGTTATGCCCGCAACCAACGTACATGGCCCTGACCGGAATCGAACCTGGGACCTTTCAGTCCGCAGACCGACTCTCTACCACTAAGCCAAACCGGTTTCGGCGATACTCTAAATATCTCTTATTCTCTCTCAGGAATGATTAAAGTATCAATATTTGATAAAATGACATACTAAAGGCACATAAAACAAATTACCTCAGCCTTAATACCTTCAAAAGACCCATTCTCAATTAACCGCCAAGTTCCAATTTAATATAATTACTTTACTTTTCTAATTTAGAACCTACTTTGAGTTTTCACATCCCTTTGGCTCTGATACTCGAAATATATGTCTTTCAAAAGCTTAATCAGTAAAAAGCACAATGTTAACTAGTGACTATTCAGGCAGTAGCAATTCCCTCTAAATTCTTGCTGGCCTAAGCAAGCAAGGTTCTCAAGCAGGCCAGGAGAATGGACATACTCAAAGGGTGGTATGTCTGAAAAATACTAGGAAACCAACTCCTAGTTCATTCAGTCTTGGGAGTCAGCATCACTGTTCTGGAGTTGTTCCTATTTATATAGATCTAGAGGGCAGGCATAGCAGAAAGAGGTACATCCTAGAGAGAATGGCCAAGGGTAATTTCAGATAGACTAGTTAGGAGCCTTACTCCAATTAGGCAATATCAACAGGGCCGGACACCCCACCCCCACCCCAGGATGTGGAGGTGAGGGAAGCTGGCCCCCAACATCCTAACTCAGCCTCCTGTTCTAGATAGCCATCTCTATGCAGTAAATTGTATGATATCCTTTAGTTATATTAAAAGAACTAGCTTTCTTTAACTCCATTAGTTGCAGTAGTCTTTCCGTCAATCACTTCTTCATTCTATTGTGACAACTTTGTCAACTACTGGTTATCTCATAAGCCAATATTGCTACCAAAAAGTAAATGGGGAACAAAACACACAAAAATTAAATCTGTCTATATTTCCTTCCCCTCTTGAACAAACTCAGAAGGCTTATATTTTAAATTAATAATTATAATGATGATATAATATGATTGGTAGAGTTCTTATTTTTGTTGGCCACTCCTCCGTTTGCATACAGATGTGATATACGTACCTTGAACAGCATAGGTTTCAACTGCATGTGGATTTTCCTCAATATGTGAAATGTATTTCCTCTTCCTTATGATTTTTTCATAACATTTTCTTTTCTCTAGCTTACTTTTTTGTTAAGATACAGTATAAAAAAGATACAGTATAAACACTGTAACATACAAAATATGTTAATCAACTATTTATTTATATGTGTTAATCAACAATAACCTATTAGTAGTTAAGTTTAGAAAGAATCACAAATTTTCAACTACATCTAAGCCCCACATTGTTTCAGGGTCACCTGAAAACACGGAAGATATTTCTTTGGTACCTCGGCAAGAACATGGACTAGCTTGAGCTCATATCTCAGTGCTGCCACTTAGACGTTGTGTCATCTCAACAAATAACACAATCTTTTAAATATCCACTTGATCCAACCCACTCATTAAAATGATTAAAATATTTATTGTACTGAGCTGTTTAAGAAGAAATTTTAATTTAAAAAGAAAACTTCAATATTTCACTCACTGATCAGAGTTTGATATCCTACCAGCTTTCTTGTACCTTAACTACAACTTCATCCGCTCTTTAACCTCACTGAAAAGACTGATATTCTGAATTAATTGGTGTGGGGTAGGACTCAGGCACCAGAAACTTTCCAAAGCTCCCCAGGGAACTGCTATACAGCAAAAGTGAAGAACATTGTCTAGCTCCTTGATCCCTGCATTTCCTTATACTCTCCTCTTTTTCCAGTCAAACCCCATTGGTAACCCTCAACTATCCTCTGAACAGTATTCTTAATTGCACTGTAGCCCCATCCTTCTAAGACACTCATTCATTACAACCCAAACCTGGGATCAAGGCCATAATGCACTCCATTCCATGGCTGAGCATTCCTAGAGGCAAGCCAAGAATGATAACACTACAACCTCCACTTTCCATCTTTAGCTGGGACTTCACCATCTTGTTTCTCTCTTCCTCAGCTTTCTTTTATGTTCCCATCCACTACCACCCTGACCCTCACCAAACTATTCAAACCTTGATGAAGCAGTAAATAGTTAAATTTACTGATATCTTTTTAATATTCTTTGTGACAAAATGCGAAATACACATAATGCACATGTGCTCCATGCAGAACAATGCTTATTTCAAGGAAAAACATTTGTGTGACTGAACAGCAAGCTATAGAAGCTGTAACTATTTTTTCAAGGAACACCAATTTCACTTGAAAAAATAACTGACAGAAAAACCACAGCTCTTCAAACTTGGTTATCTGATAAGCCATTTTCTCAAAAATGAACCAAGTCAATCTATCATTTCAAGAAAAACCATAGTATTTGTTTACAATGATAAAGATCTGAGCTTTCAAGTGAAGATTCAACTTTTGGAAAACTTCTATCTGCAACATGATCTGGATAGTTTCCCAAGACTTGCAGTTCACAGTATAATTTGTAAGGTAGTTCACAAACATAAGGTAAGTTAAATAATAATAATTTACGTAGCAACTTAAAACCATATGGTGCTTAGAAACGCATAAGGCAACACTTGATAAAATAGCCAAAGAACTGTAGAGTCAAGAGTTGTTTATACACAAATTATAAAGGACAAAAGAAATCAACGTAGTAACTATCAAGTAAGAGTATACTAGAAAATAAAAACTGAGGTGGGACTTAAAAAATGGGCATAGCTTCAATTGGTAAAAAAAAAAAGTGAGGAAGGCATCCTAGAAAATCTGATTAAAAGATAGATTAGATAGATAGAATACGAAGAGATATAATACCTTCAAATATATTCTTACTATTTCATATTGTTAAATCAAACTGTCAAGTGATATTTTATGATCTTGGAAAGTAGGGCCATATATTACAATTCTTTGCTATCCACTAGAGAGACTATTGAATGGGAAAATAAAATTTACGCAAGGAGGAAGCAGAACAGTAACAGTCTAAGTCCTGGGATAAGTCCCAGCTCTGGCACTTAGCTAGGTAGCCTTGGGTAATTTCGTTTACCTCACAAAACCAAGCCCAAATACACCTAGTTGGAGGATCACCCTAAAATCATTCTAACTAAAAGTACCAAAGATAACTAATATAAGAGAATCAGATAAGGAATGAGAATCAACATTATGCTGACCTTGTACATATTTTTCAAGTTATTCAACAAGTTCATGTTGTTTTTATTTTTCATCTTAGCAAAGGAAGTAGAAGAGGATAATACATATTTTACACCACTGTATTATTAAAAAAAAAACTCTCTGTAAAGTGGCAAGCAAATTTATTAGTATTTTAGGCATAGTGCACTACCTTTATTATTGAAATTCAATCCATAACGACATTGCAAATCAGAAATAATTACAATTTATTCTTCTCAAGATATACTAAAATACTGCATTATTTTTCCTCCCAACTATTTACTTCACACATTTCTCCTGTCACCCGGACACCATTTTCTCTCTTTACACACACACACACACACACACACACACACACACACACACACACATTCCTCTCTCCCTTTCTTTCTTTGCCCTTCATTCTAATATCCCTTCGTCTTGAGGTGACTACAGCCACTAGGGGGCAATAAGTTTACAAAGATAAATAAACTAATCTATAATAAACTGAGATCCACAAACTAATAAATGTAAAAACTGTATTATCACAAACCCTAAAGCATAGGCAATTAGGCTTGAATATGCAAGGTATGTACTTCAAATTTAAAAATTATCCTGGAAAATGTGTTCATAGAGCATATAACATTCAATAAAAGAGACATTACGTTTTCTCACTAAGCACTAACTAAAGAAATAAGGTTAATTTACTAACAAGTACACAGCGATATCAGAAATCAAAATTTTAAAAATGCTGTATTAGCCTCAGACAAGAGAAGAAAAGGGGGAGAAACAAAAACACAAGACAGGCACCCTGGCCGGGAGGGAGCTCAGCTGTTTGGAGCAGCATCCCATGATTCCGGTGGGGGCACATATGGGGGGCAATGTTTCTCCTACCCTCCCCCCCTTCTGAATAAATAAACAGATTCTATGGTGAGGATTTAAAAACAACAACAGCAGAATTTGTAGGGTGAGTAGAAAAGATAGAACTGATTTCTTCCAATGCCTCCACTGCAACATGGAGAAGACAATGAATAAAGAATGTAGTGAACTTACCAACTCTTTCTTCTATTGAAAAAGTCAGGGAAATTTTACAGGTATATCTTGTGGGGATGGAAACAGTATTGTAGAGAGCATATATAGTTTTCACTTCTTTTCTCACAATTAAGGATTTAGAAGAAAGTTAACTGTCACTATTCTTTGACAGCTAATTTTACCATTTTTGCACAGAACATAAATTCAGATGAACATATTTAACTTACTTTATATTTTTACACTGACATCACAACACTGCAATGCTACAACATTGACATTTTTAGAAAAACCATCATTTTCTTACCCTCATTGGATGAATATCAGCATAAGGCGGTTTTCCTTCAGCCATCTCTATCGAAGTAATGCCAAGAGACCAGATGTCAGCCACACAGTTGTAGCCTATTTCTTGAATTACCTCAGGAGCCATCCAAAATGGAGTTCCTATCACAGTATTGCGTTTTGCCATTGTGTCCTGCAAAAAACATAATGTAGTCATAAATACTAGTACAAAAATACTGAGGAATCTGTTTGCCAGCATACTCTTAAAACTATGTATATGAAAGCCTCAATACTGTAGATTACAGATGAAATGGACTATTTTTCCTAAAATTTCAGCTAATTATAACATGACAGATTTAAGAATTTTATATTAACTAAAATAACTGAGTCCACAAGTAATTTACCTCCACTATCGTCATTAAAGACAGAACTATAACAAGGGAAGTTACATAAATTAACCCATGTGGCTTTCCTTTTTGAACACTTAATCATTTCAATGATTACATATATTTTCCTATTTATTCAATATTTCTTAAGTTGTAAATAAAACTAATAAAAAATACTCTAATTATAACAATGAACTTACACATTTCTTTCCATACCCCCAAAAAGTCATTAAAGTTTAGACATTATCAAACCGACATATAAGCCAAAAGTATTTCCAAAATTATTACACTTACTGTTAACTGACCAGCCACTCCAAAATCAGCCAATTTTGCATGTCCTTCTGTATTGAGAAGAATATTTCCAGCTTTTATATCTCGGTGTATTTTTCTCATAAAGTGTAAATATTCTAGTCCTTTCAAAGTGGATTTAAGAATAGTTGCAATTTCATCTTCTGTTAACTGGAAAGAAATATTTAAAAACCCTGATTGAAATACCGCGTTAGATAAACTCTTACAAGTGAGCAGGTAATAAGCACTTCTTTCTGATGACCATCGAACCTCCAGGAAAAGGCTCCAAGTAAAAGTCTGAGAACCTCTTCTGTCTCTTTGATAATCTTTGTCATTCTAATTACACACTTTACTAATGAAAGAAAATTTCATCATTAAATTTCTCCTTTCTTTAAAATTATAAATGTCATTCCTAAAACACATAACATCCCCCAAATCAACAGGACCCTAAGATACCAGTGTCTTCCACATCTTCTAACAATGAGGTAGCAATACTGCAGCTATTTGTCCTGAAAAAGTGAATTCAGACACTCTTCCCTCTGATGCTTCCTATTCTTTTTTCTTTAAAATAGGGTGCTTTTTAATAAATCAATGTTAATCTTTAGAGAGATAGAAAGGAAATGTGCCCTGACCAGGAACTGAACAGCAAGGAAAGATCACACCCAACCAACTGAGCCACACCCACCAGGACACAAACCCATTCCTGATGAAAATAAAAACCAACAGTTTTACATAAAGCAGAGGAAAGGTGAAGGGTGGATTGCCAAGAGACTCCTTCATGAAGTACTAAAAACACTCCTCCTGCTTCTAGCCAGGGCATTCCTCACCCACCCACACCATGGATTTCTGACCCTAATAATGAGAACTGAAAAAATGAACACGTCAGAGACAGACTAGGAAAATGGAAACACAAGCTTGAACAGACATTTCTCCAAAAATATACCAATGGCCATACATAAAAGATAGATGTTAAACATCATCATCATTTGCCATTAAGAGATGCATATCAAAACTCCAACAAGGTACCACTTCATGCCCACAAGGAAGGCTATAATAAAAATAAAAATAAATAGAAAGCTGTGTTAGCAAGCATGTGAAGAAATTAAAACTCAAATACATTGCTGGTGGGAATGCAATATGGTACAGCACTATGGAAAACAGTATTTAGTCAAAACACTGAAAAGAAAAGTTAAACATAGAATTACCATATGACCCAGCAATTCTATTTCTAGTTATACACTCAAAAAAATGGAAAACTGGTACTCAAACATAAATGTTCATAGCAGTACTCTTTACAATGGCCAAAAGGTTAGTAACAACTGAAATGTCTATCAACAAATGAATGATTAAACAAATTACAATATATACATACAGTGAACTATTCAGCTATAAAAAATGAAGGAAGTACTGACATGTGTTACACTGTGAACTGACCTAAAAAACATTATGCTAAATGAAAGAAGCCAGGACTAAAAGGGCATGTATTTATGATTCCATTTACATGAAATATGCAGAATAGGCAAGTCCACAGGAAAAAGAGCAAAGTGGTGGTTGCCAGAGGCTGGGGAAATGGTTAGAACAGCTTAAAGGATGAAAATATTTTAGAACTAAATAGAGGTGATGATTACACAACATTGTCAATGTGCTAATACACCTGAATTGTTCACTTTTAAAAGGTTAATTTTATGTTGTGTTAATTGCACCTCGATTTTTTAAAGCCCTGACCATATTAAAATCCCTAAGCAAACTGGAACATGGCTTATATTTGCATATGACATCAACATATAATATCATAACTATAGTATACATGACTATGTGTATGCAGTACTTTTGAATAAAATTAGCTTTGGATAAACGTGCTTTCTTCATTAAAAACAAAACAAAACAAACAAAAAAAAAACCTGGACCTCCTTCTGTTAACTCTTAAAGTGTCAACTCTGCCTCGCCCTTTTCAAATTAAAACACCTTACGATAATTCCAAGCCATCTCTTAATCATACACTCCTCAGTGATAATCTAAAAATCTTACTTGATAGATAATGATCCAGAATGCCAGTTACTCATTCAATAAATATTTACCAAGCACCATCTACATGCCAGAAATTACAGCAATTGCTGGGGATAAGGTAGTGAACAAAACATGAATTGTCCTTGCTCTCACAGAGCTTACTAGGGGAAGAGATAATTTGATGATAATTTGATTTTTTAAAAAAAAAGAGTGTAATACAAGCTTCCCTTCAAGATGCCCGGAACCACATCAAAATTACAAAAACTAAGAAGTATCATTCAGAACTGCCTGAAGTCTAGCTAAACAGAAATCTACAACTGAGGACAAAAAGAGCCAAATCAAGAAGGATAGGAGGGGCACAGGCGCGAGCTGGGCTGGTCCTACATTCACGTGTGGCAGTTAGTCAGGAGAGGTATCTCAGCTGCGGAGGTTGTAAGGAGAGGAGATTCCCATCCCACACCAGCCCCCCATTCAAGGGTTCCAGTGGCAGGAAGAGAAGGCCCCACAATGTCTGGCTGTGGAAACCAGCAGAGATTGTGGCTGAGTGAGCCAGAGGGTGCTGGAGTTACAGGAGTGCCTCTTTCAGGGCTCACTTAATATTCTGCCCTTATCAAAAAGTGATGCACCATCCAGTCATTCATACTAATACATGGATATGTCTTGATTGAAAATTATTTGTGCGATGGTAGTATTTTAAAAATCCACTTGAATATAAAGGCTCAACTCTGCTATCTGTACTTTAAGACTTTTAACTTCAATTATTAAGTGAAAGGTTTCTATCCCTCAATAAATAATTTAAACAATAACCAAATGAAGAAATATTTTCTACAACAGATACCTTAAACTTTTATATTACTTTACAAACATAAAGGGTATTTTATGTGACTCACAACTTAATTAAGTAAACAGAAATATTTTATAGATGAGGAAACAATTTAGAGAAATTAAGTGGTCTATCAGATGTCACACTACTGTAAAATGACAAAGCCCACGTTTTCTGGCTCTACGATCTGTACGTCTATTTGCCAGATGTCACAAACATAAATGTATGAACTGGTCTCAATATAAGAAAATAGGGAGTGGTCCAAGAGTGATATTCAAAATATTTGGCAATCAGTAAAGGCAATGTCTAATGAGAACAGTAGCCAGCCATAATACTAATCAACCAGAACAGCTACCATTGGTCAAGAATAGTAATAATGGGTAGCAGCCATAACAAGCAATAAAATAATACCAGGTAGGGTGCTTATTTCATCTAAGCATTCAAATTTACATCATTTTAAACTGTATACCAAACAAAACAAGTATACTGGTTAATGAACTCTGCAAGTAAGAAGACTCACCTGGCCCGAAAAATAACCTTAACTGAGGACATGATAGGTGGCTTTCTGAGTATTTTATTGAAAACACATATTTAATCCCACTAACACAAACACAAACACTGGTCAATGATTTAAATATTGTAAAAATATTTAAATAAAAATAGAAGAAAATCAAAGTACCAAATCAGTAGGTAGGAAGAATAGTTTATAACAAAAAGCAAACAAAGAATTATGAGGATTTATAAGCTTTGTCTATATAAAAACTGTAAGCTTAGATCTCAGAAAAGTATTCAGAGCAAATATAGTAAAATATTTTAATGTATAGAATTAGTTAGACTATAAAGAGTTCACATAAATCTTCAGAAAAATAATCAAATCCCTATAAGCAAACAGGCAAAAAATGAACACACAATTTACCAAACTAAAAATAGAACTGGGTAATATACATGGAAAACATTAAACTGCACTAATTATCAAAGAAAAGCAAATTAAAACAATGAGGGATCAATTATAAAATTATCCCATATGGGTCACAATGTTGCTGAGTACTAACAGCACATGTGGCAGACAGGAAGAGTATAAGCCATGTGTAAAAATGACCTAAGAATGCACAATTATTTTCCAAAAGCTCTAGATAACATTCATTCACTGAAAGAAGCATTTATTGAGCACCTAATCTACATTCAATTAAAAAAATATCTAGTAAACTAGTATGAACCACAAGTGACAGCAATTAAATTGGAAAGGAAAAAGAGTGGCATTTAAATTGGGCTTTGAATTAAAAAAAAAAAAAAAATTCACTGTCCAGAAAAAGGAAAAACTACCAATATAATAGTGAGGAATTAAACTCAGAAATCAAGTACGGCCCATTTTCTTTAAAGTAGGAAAAATGATAAAAATTATAGGCCAAATTTCAGCCTTCTAAGTGCCAAAATGCAGGTAAATCTTATCAGATTTTGAGAAATAAATGTTTACCTGGTCTCTCTGAAATATCAATAGTTGTAAATGAACTTCGTATAAAAGCAATATATATATATATATATATATATATATATATATATATATATATATATATCGACATTTAAGCCACCCTACAAGCATTTTGTATGACAAATAGAGAAGAATGAGAAAGGAAGGAGACAGGAATTTGAATTGGACAGGACTCAGTAGGCCTTAATCTAGTTTATTTCATATATTTTAGACTCTTTTTTGTTTTAAAGAAAAGGAGAGGAGGGAGAAAGGGAGTAAAGTTTGTTTATATCGTCAGCTGACCATCATTTTCCTAAATATAGTTTTATTTCTCAAACAACCTTTAAGTGTTTTTAAAAATTCATTTACATATAAACACAGCCAGTTACCAAGAGTGGCTTGATTTCTATTTCACAATAGAAAGAACTGCTTATACCCAATAGCATATAAAATTTAAAGGAGTATCTTTTTCATTTCTATAATTAAGACTTTTCATCACTTCAGATAGACCCATATCCAACCATATCAAAATGGTCAAGTTTATACTGAAAACATCTAGGGGAAAAAGAAAAAGAAAAAGAAAAAACACAGGAAAGAGGTTCTGCTTTTATAGGAGGAGGCAATGTAAGTTTTCAGTTCTAAGATGAAAAATTAGACCCATTCTCAACCCACAGCTAACACTTCTTTTAATGATATCTATCAAGAATCCTTTCCAATGAAAACTTTTAACAACAAAGAATTTCATTTTTGTATTTAATTAGGTTGTTTTCAATACATTACAGGTTTCATTTCTTCCACTGTGCAAATAGGGTAATGCCATTTTAAAGTCATTTGAATCACATTTTGTAGTCTTAACAAAATAAATAAATAAAT